AGAGCGCGAAGGACAAGCGGATATTTGAATTAGTGGCCCGGCGCCGGCAGCGGGGCCTCGGAGCGTCGCTGAAGGAGAGCGCGAAGAACAAGCGGATATTTGAATTAGTGGCCCGGCCGAGTCGTCTGCTGAAATCAGACACTCACCCCTAAAAGCAAAAACATAAAATCCAAAACCTTACACAAAATATGATTTGCCATACCAACTTACTTGTACTGTGAAGTAAAATCAGGAAGTTCAAGGTAAAAATGCACTTAAAATATAGCTTCATTGCATGATTTTAACAGCATCAGGCACCATCTTCCATTTTATGTACCTTTTTTTTCTCTAGGTTGGCCATATTTTGCCATGTGGGACAGGACCTGCAGTCTGTGTCTTCTCAGGGATGTCTTGAGGACCCATCATGGTGTGCAGAAAATTTTGCTGTCAAAAACTTACTGTCCAAAAAAGGAGACACAGGAGTCCTAAAACTTTATTCCAATAAGGGGAGAGTCCACTGTGGGGTCTCTCAAATTGCTGGAGGATGCAGCCCCCCTTTTATCCTAATTTCTCAACCGAGGGATGTGCTCTGCTTTTCCCCATTGGCCAGGGTCCTCAGAAGTTACAGCCTTCCCGGCCCACCTACACCAAACTCCCTGCCTCCTTCCAGCTGTTCTCACCTGAGGTCACCCAATTCCTTTGTCCCCCTTGCTGAAGAATGTGGGGGAATCTCCTTATTTGTAAAGGCGCCCACTTCTTGGCATGTGCTCTTTTGTCCCACTCGCTCATGGCTCTGCTCAGTCTCTCCCTTCCCTTTGTCCTGCTCTTCAGCCAGACTGTGGGGGAATCCCCTTATCTGTGCATACGCAAACTTGAGCATTCTGCTCAAGCCCTCCTTTTTTTTTTTTTTTTGGACAATATTTGTTTTTACAAACCACTACACCCATTTTCAGAAGCGTAGTGGACTCTGCATAGATTATTAACTAACCACCTGTATTTGATAGGTCTGGTACCCATGGACAGTCTTCATATCCTCCTGGACTCCCACAGACCCAGCGTTTATTCTCCTGACCCACTCCCAGCCAGCGGTACAGATCTACAGAGAGTTAGCCAGGGCTTTCCATCCTCTTTCTTCAGGAGAGAAGTCCAGATTTCTGGAGTCTTGGAAATCTTAAGTCTGGTATGATGAGTCCATCCATGTTCAGCTGTTTTGATTGATGTTTCTGTGGTTAGTAATACCTGATGGGGTCCACGCCACTTTATTAGCAGTGGTGCTTCTTTGCACTCTTTGACCAAGACCCAATCTCATAGTTGGGTAATATGGACTGCAAAATCCAAGGGGACAGTCTGTGTGAGCTGGGCTTCCTGTTGGGGAGCTTCACAAGATAAAGTATTCTGGCCACATATTGCTTTAAACCTATATTGCTTATCTCCACCTTCCTGCCAGGTTGGCTGTTAGCAGGGTAGGGAATCCCAAACATTTTTTCAAAGGGAGACAGTTGAATGTTTGCCTTAGATTTTGCTCTTATTCTTGCTAAAGCTAATGGTAGAAATTGTGTCCACGGCATCTTGGTTTCTAACACCAATTTCAAAAGATGCTTTTTAATGTTCCCATTCATCCTTTCCACTCTACCAGAGCTCTGGGGATGCCAAGGGATATGCAAGTCCCATTGAATCCCCAGGGCAGTCATATACACCTTGAAGGACCTTTCCTGTAAAATGAGTGCCTCTGTCTGTGTTGGGTATTGAGAGCAGGGCCTCCAGAATAATGAAGCAAAGACATTTTAGTGAGCATCAGATAAAGCTTATATACTGTGCTGTCCTGGATACAATGCCTTATTTGCCTACAAGCATGTGAAGCACAGTTACTGAATAAAGCAATAATCTAAAGGCTTACACAGATACTATCCAATCAGTTTCTCAGTCCTGCAGCAGCTGGACAGTTGCTTTTGCTCCTTGTTTGCTGAAGAACATCTGCACTGCCCTCCTTGAGGTTGCTTATCTACTAATGAGGCATCCTGTACTATTGTCCTTGAAGCAGGCCTCCACATGTTTGAATCTGTTGGCTCTACCAACCCATATCTTGGAATTATTTGGTCTAAGAACACCTTAATTACAGACCCGGTTATTGCTGAGGCAGTTGGAAATGCCTCAGGCTATCTTGTTAACTCACATACTGTGGAGGACAGGGACATGGGGGTGTTCTTGACCAGTCCTTGACTGGGCTAAGTTGGCGGGAAATGAGAAAGTTGCTCATTATAAAAGACAACTTTGAGGAAGTACAGCTGCCTTGAGATGTCAGTGTGGCCATTGCGGTTAGGCGCTTGGATACGGCTTAGCAACCTATGATATGTTTGCACGTTAATGCTTGTAACCAATTACTGATGCTCTACTGAGATGTTGCTATGCGAATTGCTATATATTGTGATACGTAACGCGAAATAAATGAAGTCAGTTCCAGCTTCTATGAAGTTGATGTCTGGCATTCATGACCCGCTCCATACTATTACCAGAAGATACTTAAGCCTCCCTATATGAGGCATCTCAGTGAAGTCTTCCTGACATTGTTGGAATGGGTGTACAGCCCAGGGCCGTCTTGGCTTTGCAACTTCTCTTGCGGCTCAGCTGCTGCCCTTAGCCCAAGTCAGACAGCCCTCAAAGGCCTGTTTTGCGGGAACAAAAAGACCAAGGGCAGCGTAGAGTCCTCCTCAGGCTCTAAGGAAGGCCAGCCCTCTAGAGCCACAATGGCTTCCTTCCTGAAGCTCTTTCAGTATTTGTAGAGCTAGGGCTTTGGGCACCCCTTGCTTGCCCTCCTTTGTAAACTAGTTGTATCCTTTTTTTTCTGCCCATTATTTTCAATAATCTCTAATTCTTCTAGTGGAAAAGACATTTTTTTTCCGGTAATGGCTGTGTGTGGAAAATCTCGCTGTCAAGAACTGAATGTCCAAAAAGGAGACTGAGGAGTCCTAAAACTTTATTCCAATAAGGGGAGAGTCCACAGGGCATATCCCTGTGGGGTCTCTCAAATTGCTGGAGGACGCAGCCCCCCTTTTATCCTAATTTCCTGACGGAGGGACGCCCCATTGGCCAAGGTACTCAGAAGTTACAGCCTTCCTGGCCCGCCTATACCAAACTCCTGCCTCCTGCCATCTGTTCTCACCTAAGGCCACCTGACTCCTTTGTCCCCCTTGCTGAAGAAGGTGGGGGAATTCCTCTATTTCCCTCCTTTGTAAAGGCCCCCACCTCTTGGCAGATGGCTCTTTTTGTCCTTCTCGGCTCATGGCTCTGCTCACTCTCCCCTCCCTTTTTCCGGCTCTTCAGCCAGACTGTGGGGAATACACAAACTTGAGCATTCCGCTCAGCTGGACTACTGGGAGGAGAGGGAGGATCTTAGATACTTCTGGTAAGAGTGCTGCTTTTTGAGCTTCCTTATCACCCAATTGATTGCCTACCTCCTGCTCCAAGTGTCCTCTCTGATGTCCCCTGATGTGAATTATCAAGACATTTTTGGGGAGGTTCACTACCTCCAGTAGGTGGGCAATCAGATCCTTATGTACCAGTGCCTTTCTTCAACACATGAATAAACCTCTTTCTTCCCACAGTTCTCCAAACATATGTACCACCCCATATACATATTTAGAATCTGTAAAGATATTCAGTAGCTTGCCTTGTTGTAATTCACAGGCTTCTATTAGAGAATACAGTTCTGTGGTTTGGGCTGACCAGGCAGATGGCAGCTTCCTCCTTCTAGCAGCTCCCTCCCCTTAATGACAGCATATCCTGTGGCCTGTTACCCCTCTACTACTTTTGAAGATCCATCAGTAAACGCATTGTCCCCATCTAGCCAAGGATGCCTCTCAAAGCTTCCCTGGCCTGGAGATCCACCACCCTTGATGCTTCTCCCCTGGGGCCAGTCAGGCAAGAAGCTGGATTAATCCCTCCCCTACTTCTTAATTTTAAATCTTCATACACACAGCCAATGGGCTGTGGTCACAAGAGACACAGCTATGAGTTCAGCCTTTTCATGGTTGAGAATTATTAATGTTTTAAGAAGGAAAAAAAATCAAAGCAGATGCTGACCAACCTAAGTCTTCTCGTTGGGACTTTTCATGTTGCTGTGCTGGGTGATGTTACTGCCTTCTCCTGCAAAGCCTTTCAGCACTGAAAGGAAGGAAGAGCTACTCTCACACGCAGTAAGTAGCTAGGCTGCATGTAAGTGGTACAACCTTGGTTCAAGCCCACTTCTACATAAAAGCTGGTCGTATGCAGCTGCATTGCCGCACTTCAGAGGGAGGTGGGTTCCTGGGATACAGCAACCAGTAATGGATTCTTCAGTTTGTTTCATTAGGTATTCCAGCATTTGCTATATACCAACAGTTAAATTTCACTTCTAAGAGTTGTGTGGCAACATTCTGAATCTCTAAGAGAGGAAGTTTGTCCAGAAAGGTTATATTTTCAAAATCTTAAAATGTGCTTTCATAACATGTGTTAGTTGTCACCAAGTTTAGTATGTCATTTACATACAGTGTATAAAACTAAACACCACTGCTCCTCACTCAGAGAAAAGACGCATTTCTTTCAAGCTGTAGAACGATTGCCTTTAAGGATGGATCTTCTGCCCAGTTAACTCTGCTTGCAATTATGATATTCTACAAAAAGAAAAAATTTTAGGTTAAAAAACAAAAGGCCTATAAAAACAACTATTCTTATTGAAATCTCTTAAGAGATCTGTATTTAATCTTTATATTAAAACTCCCTGGAATTCACAGCAGTGTTTGAAGTGGGCAGTAGGGCAACAGGTAGAAGGAGGCGCAGTATTAGTTTAGATCTTACTGTCAATACGTAGGGAAACAAACAAACAAACAAAAACTCTATTGCAAACTATTAGTAGACATAGCATATGATACAGAAACATCTGTATGTTCCTGTCCTAAGAAATTCTTCAGATCATACGAATTTACAGAATGGTTTTACCTGGTCCCAAAGCCAGCAAGTAAGCTTTGTCTTTTCCTAGTCTATCTTTTGCTTAATAAACTAACTGGGATTTCATAAGGCATTTGTGGACAAATCTGCAAGTTGCAACTCCACTTTGCTGGGAAACTGGTGTGGGGAGGTGTGACAGTCATTCTTCTAGGACATGCATCATTTTTGTATCTCAGATGGGAAAAAGTAAATATAGATTGACAGACCATTTTGAAGTTTTAGAAATAATTATTCTGAACAACGATTTGGGGAAGTTCCATATATTCATCTTTAAAGCAATAAAATTATCTCCATATGTGGCATATTTTTCACTACCATCACTGCTTTTTTGAAAGCGCACAGTATGTCTTAATCTTGTTTAAAGTTACATTTACTATACTATGGATTTACATTTATTAGACATTATGACATAAGATTACAAGCGTGCTTCTGAAAGTTATGATTCATTACCTGGAATATATTTTGAATTAATGTAGTCATCTCCTTTTCTTTTTGTAAGTTGTTATGTATCTTTTGCAGCATTTCACTGACTTCTGTACTTGCCAGTTCCTTCTTTTTTCTCATTGTAGTATGAATTTGTAGTAGCTTGTTTTTTCCAGCTTCTTTTAGTACTATTCCATTATCAAGAAAGCAAAACATTAACAAGTAGGCCTCTTCACAGTGGAACAAAAGAAATCCTGTTTCCCACAGACATCTAAGGCACTTCCACTGCAACAATCCTAACTTCTTACCCCATCCCTTCCCTCCAGTTACCTCGGGATATCTCTTCCACTTAAAGCCAATATGTGCTGTTGCATCTCATGTCAATATATACAAACTAGTTCTATGTCTGCTGGCAAAATAAAAAGTACTGTGTGCACTGCCTGTGTTTCCATCAGATAGACACTAATTTGAACATCCGTCCTACATCTTATCTCCAGTTGGCACAATCTCTATAGTTGAAGAAGTTGAAGACCTTTTTGCTCATTTTCAAACCAAGCTCCAAAGTCATGCAAGGGACATGGACAACGTGAGTGAATATTTCTAGTTTTCTTAGAATATCAGTCTAAAAACTAAACACAGTAAAACCAAGATGCCTTTTTTTCCTTTGAAGACAGATGTTTGATTGCATTTGTTTACTACTCTCAACATGTACAGAACTTTCTACTGATGAAACAAACACAATAAAATAAGTAGTGGTTAAAACTGTTGGCAGGCTTAATCATGCCACAGTGGGAGCAAATATTTACATGTTCAAAAATATATTAACCATATTAAGTTCTGAAAAGCAAGTTAAAAAAATTTAAATTCCATTCTTGACCTAATCTAACCAGCATACTGAGCATCAAGATATACATTATTACATAAGCTCAACGTAGGGAAGTCCTCTCTCAGTCTTCAAATATTTCACAAAGGTGCCATCGCACCATCACAAACAAGCAAACAAAAACTAGGTGCCGTAGGACTCATTTAATACGAATTCACTCTGAAAACCCCTAAATGAGGTGTAATAAACTGGGGAGTGCATGCTAAATAACAAAACTAAACCACATTCCTTTTGAGTATTTTGCCTCTCTGTTCTAACACATCAGTCTCACCCACATGTAGCCAACATGCCGGCTCTCTTTTTTAAACATAATTCATACTACTCTTTAGAAGTTTCATAACTGTATTCAGAGTTTCACAGTGATTTCATACATTAATATTGCTGCAAGAAGCACTTTCTAAAACACAAACTGCTCATTCAAATATAAAAGAAAGTTCATTTAATTAACACACTTACTGAGTCTTTTCCTTCTAATGTCATTCAGTTTCTCTTCCATCTCATGTGTTTGCTGCAAGAAAAAAAATATTAATTAATCCAATAATTAATCCAATCAACACTGATAGATGCTAATTTAATTCACAGAAGTAGTTAAGGACAGCTCTAGAAGCACACTTTTTGCATACTCCCTTTAAGTAAGCATTTCAAGAATATTATCACCAGTAGTAACTGTGTGCTTTGGGCCACATATTTAACTTCAAGTGACTTCTGCATTCCTGTTACTTTCAAATTAAACCCTGGCCTACAGAGGAAAGCAAGTCTGTGCAACAGCAAGAGAGGGAACAATTCACACTTACCTGCTGAGATTCAAGTATTGATTTGCTGAGCATTGTTATGTGTTTCATAGTCTCCAAGATCAGTCTAAGGAAGAAAACACTGATTTGCAGACCTTCAGACTGTTAGTATGCGCAAACAGCACAAATATTTTAACAGAAAAAAATATTTAAATTAGATATATTTAAAAACCTACTCTAACACCAAAATTCAGCATACTTTATTTTCTACTTTTGCAAAACTATGCCTTTTCTTTGGCAGATTGAGCAGACTGCATATAGCTTTAGAGGCTAAATATTATCTTTATTTTCACCTCAATGTTTCAGTTAAGTTTATCTAACACTGCCAGGCTCTACATTTTCACTGTGCACCAAAGTAGCCAAGACACTCCAGAAAGTAATTTGAATTTCTGAATTCCAGCCAGTGCCAGAGACATCATGGAGATAGAGTGTCTTTGGCTATGTTTCCTACAGAAATGAAATTTCTTTTATTACACTTCCAATGCATCTATTCATAATGGCTAAGGGATGAACAGGTAATTTCAAACAAGTTCAAAATCTTCAGTTCTTATTGAAAGACAGTAAGTGACTAACTAATGAAGACAACAAAACAGAGGCAAGGCCCTGTATACAGTCAACACTCAAACATCAGGATGATCAGCACAAATCTAAGGAGAAAGCCCAAAGAAGGCAAATACTCATTTAACATCAAAGATATGTTATTGTGTCCCAACTTAAATATTAAAGCATGAAGGAGAAAAGGAAAAGCAATTGCATTCCACAGCAGCTGTGTTCAAGATCATGGAGCTAGTGTACAAACACCTGTGGTGAGCTTCTGGAGTTGATCTGGCTTGGGTGAAAAAATCTTCTTCTCTGTACTCAAAGATTGGTTAGTTCAAAGCCTAAATTAAAACCACTCCAGATATAAGGCGTTTGATCATAGTGATTCCAAACAGAAGGTGTATATCATGTGTATTATCCAGTCAAAATTAGAAGAAGAAAGCTTATTTTTAAATGATGCAATGAAGGAATGCCAAAATGTGTTTCATTCAAATGTGTCAATTCCTTTCCTTTCTTTTTGGCCATCCTTTCCCCCAGAACACCTTACCTTGAGTCTTCATCATTTTGTTTCACTTTGTTTCTCAGGGCATCTGTAAGCTGCATCCTGCATAGCAAAGGGAAAAGAGCTGATGAGAATTGATAAGAAACTAAGAAAATAGAATTTAGATAAATATTGAAAAAGAGATTGCAAGTGTTCAATTTTTGCCCGTTTTCATGTTGAAAATTATATATAAAAATATCCCTCAATTTTAAATATCACACTGCTTAAATATATATATTTTTAACTCTCAGGATTAAAAGAACATATTAGTGATTCTTTGTAAGAGTGACAGTGCATTTCTCACTTGTCAAACTTACCATAGATGTCAATAATCCCAAGGACTGCAGAAGGGAATTTGGACAAAAGTGGGAATTGAAATGGGTAGTTCTATAACACAGAAGATACACAGCACCTACAGTCTCTACCTTTTCATGAATATTTGTAAAACACAACCAACCGCTATGTGTAGTGATGTATATGGTCAGCCTTTCACAATTTTTCAGGATCTTTGGGGTTTGTGCATTTTAACTTGTATCTTTTGCTGTTCTGTATGGTATCTCCATCTTCACTCTTACTGGCTCAATGGTACTAATCAAGACTTTCAGGTTTGTAACACACAGTGTACCATTTTGAAATCCCACTTTAATCTGACTTATGTTTACAGCCATGCTGCAAACTTATGCAAACAAACAAACAAACAGAAAAAACACAAGATAAACAGGAAAAAAATACATGCCTCTGCAACACCAATGTCTTGTTTTTGAAAGAGACTTTTACTTTCTCCATCTCTCTTTCCAAACTTGTTGTGGCACTGAAATGAAAACAACAGTGTGAAAAGAACAAGGAAATTTTAAAAGCATTCTCACTCTTGTAGGTTATGACTTGCTTTCTCCATGCCAGAAATAAGAGTTTTGCCTGTAAGTTATGAATTATTTGATTCAGGAGTACTTCGGCATATGGATTATGTTATTTAATTCTAGCTGTTATACAGAAGGATTGCAGATTTAAAAACTATATCAGATACAGGACTATATCAGGGGACTGTATAAAATATTTCCTCCCATGTTATCCTTTCACTTCTTCTATTTTCATTATATTCTTGCAAATTATTGATAGTTCATCCAGAGTTTTCATTGAAAAGGAGGAGCAAAAAAAGAGAACATCCAGATCAGTTCCCAACTCCCTTTACTTTAAACTGTGTCCAAATTTGAGATCATCAGTTGACTTACCTCTTGATCATCTTTTCATCTGTGACATAGCCAGGAAAACTTTCTTCAGCTGCAAAGCAAGCACATTACTGAAATAGAGTAACAGGAAATTTTTAAAAACGGTTTACATAATATAAAGGGTACGCACTTGGATGGCTACACTAATAAGGTAATTTCTTATCCCTGGCTCCACACCTCACTGTCTCTTTTGCCATTAGTGTGGCTGCACTGCCAGTCAGCTGTATCGGAGAAACATATTCCTATTTAGCGCTTTTTGGACAACCCAGAGTGGGTTCACAGCCCTGCCCTGCATGTAACCGGTTGTTTCAGTGGATAAGACATACCGAAAACAGAGCAGGAACAAGAAGAAATAAGTTTAATTGGCATCGCTATCTAGCACTTTGTGCTGAAAAGCTGAAACCCCAGCCGATCAGATTCCTGAAAGCTATTACTACGTGTACTACTACTAAGTTTTGTCAGAGTGTTAGAGGGGTCTAAATCAAAAAAATGAGGCGAGAAGGGAGAGGAGGTGTGCAATACTTTATGCAACAGCTTGTCAAGGGTTGAGATGTGTCTTTACGGGCATGTCACGAGAATGCAGTCAGATACTCAGGCTATAAAATATCACTGCTGCAACAAGGGCTTTTGACAAATTAGGACTCAAGGGCCGTGAGTGACACCGCGGCAGGGGGTCGGGAAGGGGATGTCCTACCCGCCTGGGCCGCAGTGCTGTATTCCATGAGTTGCTGCTTCATCTGCTCCCGCAGGCTGCGAAGGGAGAAAGGCCGCAACGGTCAGGCCTGAGCCCCGGTCCGCACCCGCCCGCGCAGCCCTCCGTCCCCGCCGCGCCCACCGGAGCAGCATCAGCACGTCCAGCCTGGCCG